TCTTAAATTTCTAAAGAAAAAAGTCTAGATCCAAGCAAGAAATAAAAGGCAATTGACAAAATGAACGGTGAAAAATGAAAGTTAAGAATATGGACAAGATCGCATACCCTCAAAATTCAAGTGGGTTGGTGCAATCGGAGCCGGACTGGCCCATTTTCCGCCTTTATCCTCCACCATCATAAGAAGCCATGATGCGAAATAGTTTCTTCACTAGCTTGAGATCTAGGATTAAGAATTCACTGGTCATGGAACTGTACGAATTCAAAACCATATAATTGATATAAATTAGTCGAACACAAGCTTAAAAGCATCATCTTGATTTTAGAGGGGGCAACATAGAATTATTTCAATCTCCCACAATAGTAGATTGTACAGAGAACTTTCATTTATACATTAAGAACCAACAGCGACGTCCCTCATGCCCTTCCCACAATACATACTAGCCCATGGCATATTTTTGAGTCCAGCTCCTTGCCGTTGTCTCATACTTGGCCCTATCCGTCTTGTACAGATGAGCGATTTCTGGCACTAGGGGGTCATCTGGGTTCGCATCGGTCAAAAGGGAGCAAATAGAAAGCAACACCTGAATATGAAACAAGAACCCTTCCCAACCACTTAAAAAACAGCATATAGCATTAATTAAAGCTAGGAGAAAGGTGAAATTGATATGCAGAAAATGGATGGCAGTCACTCGCTATTCTCAATCATGTTTGCCAAAGACACTGAAGAGCAGACAGTGATTCAATATTCTATAATCAGATTGCTACACGTTCCATATCATAAGAAAATGTCTGGATTTTTGGAAGAGGGAAATAACTATCTAAGTAAAACATACCGTGGTCTCCCCATGTCAACACTGGACAGTGATCACTTAATACCCATTGCACTCCAGACTACTCAAATGATAAGTAACCTTTGCAAGTCGTATGAATTTCCTAAGAAGTTGAAATCTAACCAGAACATCATGCCGTCACCCACCCTCTCCTTTCCCACCAGGATTTTGATGACAAAAGCAGCAGTCTACATTTTGTTTGCTCCAAAATCCTGTTTTCGTTTAATGTAGTTGCCATCTTTCTTTTCTAGTGCTTGGTCTAAGTGATTGCTTAGCTGTGTTTTCACATGACAAGCTCTTGGATTTTAAAATCTCTTACGTCCTGACTACTACTCTTTACAATTTGGATTGTAGTTTATTTCTACAATTGGAAATGCTAGGTTGAAAAATATTTAAGTACAATAAAGATGGCATGAACTGTGAAAAACTGTACCAGAGTGTTACTCAATTATTATAGCCAATCACACTATTACATCAATATGTTGAGTACCATGAATGATTAAGATATTAAATAAACTTAGTGGTGTTTTCCTTTTCTTTTATTTTTTTCCTTTTTTCTTTTTTGACAAGTATATCAGCTTAGTGCCTCGAATCCCTAGTTAAGAACAAAATTGTAAATGGTGACCGACAGGTAATTCAAAAAATTTGATCCAAAGCCATCGTGCAAATGTGGCAGAAGGTAACAGAATTCAAAAGTATAGGACTTAAATGGTAAAATTGTCATTAAGAGGTCAAAACCTTGGATATGGTCAAAGCTGGACTCCATTGCTCTTTCAAGATGTCCAGGCAAATACTACCATTACTGTTGATGTTTGGGTGAAAAACCTTTGTCCTGAAAGCAACCTAAGCAAATAATAAACTGAGGCTACATAAAAAATTATAGGCTAAAAATCCCTATATTAAGTGACATGATTAATTATACCTATACATAGCAATAATAGTACGAGAGCAAAAAACTAAAAATTTTAAAAAGGATGAAAGAAAAAAGAAGAGAAGGGAACGATAGGAATTCTTCCCCCACTATAGCCAGTGAGGAATTCAAAAACACTCCCCAGTTAGTAGCAATAGAAGAGAGAGAATAATAAGAAAAACCTTATCAAAAGCCCTCCTAGAAGAAACAACATAAGAAATATGATCCCCACGTCCAAAAAAAAAAAAAAAATCCCATCTATCCCTTGAAAAATTCTGCTATTTTTTTTCCAGCTAAATCTCCCAAAAGGTAACCTTGATGGTTGGGCTTTCCTTTAAATGGAGACCTCCTAACATGAAAGTGAAATATTTGATGCCTGCAGAAAACCACCCGGATATTGAAATATTGAAAAATACGCCTCTGCTCAAAATAAGAGGGCACCACAAAAACAAATGAGAGGCATCTTCATAGTTAGACCTGCGCAGACTGAGAACAGGGTCCACAAAAAGAACCTATGGTTACAAATTAGATCAGATAAGAATTCCTGAAATGAGAAGACCAACTCCCAGGATTTGCACTCTAGCATTCCAAATCATATTACGCTTATTATGCATAAAGCCTAGGAAATAAAAGGAACAAGGGAGTTGTATTGTTCCCACCAAAGGGCTTCCAAAAACCTAATAAGACATATATATGATTAAATCAAATCTTCATAGCTACCTCGCCTTAATCAAGTCTTTACATTTATCTCCCCATCCAGTGTTTACATAAAGCTACAGATAGATTACTATGGAGAATAGGCAGTAAGCCTATTTGACAACTATAACATGTAACTCAATTTAACATGAAAAATGTGCAGACAACTATCTATAACCACCAACGTGATATGTAGTTTATAACTTCATATATTTAGCTTTTAAAGTGTGGCCTTTGTATGGTCAATGCATTGCCACAAAATATAATTTTCGGATATAAGATATCACGCTATTTTCATCAAACAACCTCAAAAGATAATCTACACAATCAAACAACAACTGCACTGTTCTGCTCAAGAAGTCGAAACAACTTCCAGCTCTAACTTTACCGAGTTATTAATCAAATAAGAACCGGACACAGTGACAATACACACATACTGCAGCCACTAGAATAATTAATCAAGAACCAGATATTGTAACAAATTATTTGAATGATAAAAAACAGAAATAATGAACTATTGAAATTTACAAAGTCCAATTAAATTGAAAATGTTGACTATAACCAGGATATTTAAGATCTGATGCCATACCTTGGGAGGTTTAAATGGATAATCGGGAGGGAAGTGAATAGTAACTAAAAAAACTCCTCCTGCATAAGGACTGTCTGGAGGGCCCATAATCGTTGCTTGCCAATGAAACATATCTTCAGCTACAGGACCTGTTACAGAATAACATCCTGTCTGAATATATTTTGGTAATTCAAGGGAAATCTTGATCTATTCAGGATAGGAAGCAAAACTGGTTTAATAAAACGCCCTCTTCGTAAGAGCAGACTACTTATTCGGAAATATTCAATCATCTAAATGATTTACTGTGATTATTTTCCCGACCTAAGCCGACCACAGAGCATGAGATTTATAATCCCCTACTTAAATCTTACATGATTACACTGTTCTGAGTCTAGCTCAGTTCTTTAATCAATTATGATTTTAAACTTCAAGATTCCTAGAATTGATGTTTTGGAGTTGACTGTTGAGAAAACTCAAGTCAAACAGATCCATAAGCCAATAAATATAACGGTATCTACACTATTCTACTCAATGAAGCCCTGCTTCAATAAGCTTAGCTTGTAAACTTTACGTTCCAACAAAGCATATACGATTAATCAAACTGTAATACACGATTCAACTTCTACATTTCCGAATTCCATTCCACAGAACGATCAATTGTTTCGAGAAGAGCCGAATCAAACCAAATTCCACGCGTAAGCCCTAAAACCGAGAAGGCAAATCAGTACCAAGAACTCGAAAACCAATATTCGTAGACCTCCTAATTCTAATTCATAGCTAATCGTGAACCTGATAATTGAATTTCAGAGTTGAAACAGTTTTACGCAATCCACAAACAAACATTTGGATCCACTTAATCTCCAGATGAAAGAATAAGAACATAGTTGCTCGGAGTCCCCGATGCTCAATGAAAGGACGCAATCACTAGATCGAGCTTGAAAGGCGAAGATATAAAGATAATAAAAATGAACCAGAGTAGGAAGAATACTGAACCAGCGCTGCAGGAAGTGGGAGGATCTTTCTGGAGATCCTTGAGCTCCTTCAGGATCCGCTTCGACGCCATGAACGGTAACCAGAAGAGGCCTCTCCGACGGGGAAACTGAGAGAAGATGGAGATGCGGTCTGTAAAAATGAACGACGCCAACCTCGTTGACGAAGGCGTAAGTGTAACGTGGACAATATTACAAAAAATAAAAATAATAAAAATTAATATTACAAAACCTAACTTTTAGCAATAATTCTGAAGGTAGGATTCCAGTCACGTCAGAATCTGTTGCTTTAATATTTCTAAAAATTAATTAATTTTTCTCTAAAAATAAAGTTTTTCTTTTTTTCTTTTTTAGTTTAACGAATAAGAGTGATAGAACTTTTTATCGAAGAAAAAAAAAAGAGTGATCGAACTTTCCGCTAAATAATCATATTTGGATTGGCAAACTAAACAAACAAATTTAACTTTGATCTTAAATAAGACATGCAATTAATATAATTCATTAATTCATGTTTTCTGGCTTTTAAATTTGTAACTAGTGATAAAAAATCTTGTAGGCGTCTCAATTTCATTTAAATATCGATAAAATGTTATCGTTAATGGATATTTATATAAAAGGTAGAGAAATTAAAAAATTGTAAAAAATAAGTAAATTAATAAATAAATATTTTTCAAATAAGTTAAAAATAATTAATATTAGTGATATTTTGTTTATATTTTTCATATTATTTCGATTTGTTGTAATATGATGGAAATGTTTATTTACTTCTCATATCTATATCGAACCTATAGATACACGAGAATGTCAAGGGACTCCTTGTAGCTAAAAATATTATTTAAATGAGTTGATTTTCTAACCATGTTAATGTTTTTTTGGTTTGATTTGAATATTCAAATTTTGAGTTTGAACACTTTTAAATTGCTTAATTTTTTTTCGCTAATATCATAAAATTTCAGGGCTATGTTTTTGGACAATTATTGATTTTTTAATATTTTGATTGTTTGCATTTTGTGTGGTAGATAATTTTTTATTTAAATTTGAGAATATACTAATTTTAAACGATATTTCATACTTTTATTATCATAAAAATATACAATGTTTTTAGAAATTACTTGACCAAATTTTATAATTCAATTTTACATTAAACTTAAAAATGGTGAAATTACCATCCTTACTAAAAATCAAGTCACGAAACTTAATAAATAAATCATTACTAGTTTAGTCAACAAAACATTTTAATCCAACCTTCAACAATATCCAAATCTAACTCAAATTCAGGCTAAAAAAACCCCAAATTCAACATTGAGTGCTATTGTAACATTCTACCATAACCAAATATTTTAACACACCCCAACAAGAAATCTAAACAATCCCTAAAGGAGTCTTATCCAACTAAAAGATACCCATAACATAATCATTAACTACAAATTGATTTGATTGAAAAATTACTAGTTTCTAAATAACGCTTTAGTTAAATAAATTATCCTCCAATATTACATAACTTAATTAGTTAAGATATATATTATTGACTAAAATTGGAAGGTTTGAATCTCTACTTCCACACCTAAAAAACAATAATAAACAATATGAGAATAGTTAACTAAATAAATAAGTTACTGATTATTTTCTTTGTGATTAAAGGCGTGATCCCTACCCCACTAAAAAGCACCTAAAGCTAAATAAGGATATGAATTTAGTAATTTGTTCAAATTTAAGTTAAAAAATAATAAATTCAAGTTGTTTTTTAAGATTTTCTCTAAAAAAATCTGAAATTTTTTAGTTCAGTAATTAACACGACTCTTTCTGATTTTTTATTTATTATATTTTTCAAGTTTCACAACTAAAGTGGATGAAACCTCTAATCTTTTATCTTTAAACCATACACATATTAGCATTGTTTGATGAATTAATCATTTTCAAACAACTTCTAGAAGATATCATTCACACACATATATAATCATATCTATATTTAAACAAATCCATCCCCAAGAGGATTACACGTACTCTCATTACAAGAGTTTAACGAAATCAAAATATACTGATTAAGTTATATTTTTGTCCTATTTCTTTATTGTTTCATATATACAACTTTGAATTTAAACTTGTCTCATATGCTTCTTTTTTTTTTTTTTTGAAAAATTCCCATATGTTTTAATTTATAATTCTATAATTAAAAATTGTCCATCACAAGACAATACTTTACAATACTGATCCTTATTAATGTCACTTTAAACTTTTGATAAAGTGAGATACCAAGCTTATTTTACAACCAAAAAAAAAAAAAGATACCAAGCTTAATTTCACCATACAATATATAAGTTCACACATTATATTAACATTTGAAAAGGCTAAATTCACAAAGATCGAATTAAAATGTTTCAAAAAATCGAGACCAAAAGCACACACATATATATATTTTTTGTCTATGGATTTCGAATCGGACACAAAGTTTTCTGTGTTACAAATTTCAATTAAAGAGTTTTAATCCCACTGTAATTACCAATTTAATTTGAATTGATTTAATTTCAATTACAGAAACCATTTTCGCAGATGAATGGAGCATTTGGGCAAGTCTCCTCTCGCGAGACTTCTCAAGTTCACGCCTCCACACGTGACTTCGATCTTCACTGGCGGTATTCTCCGGCCATCTACCAGAAATCCGACTTTCGTACGTGCGGCGACGTTCACCACCAGCTCTCCGGTCCGGTTGCCGGAGTTCAGCTTCCTCCCGGCTCCGCCGTCGACGACTTCGTTGCTAACCCCTGTTTCCACTTTCAAACTCGTCGTGTTCTCCTTCGATTGAACGAACCCCGGGACCGTCGTCGATCCCAATTCAGTACGACCGCCTTCTCCGGCGCCGGCGCCGATTTCGACCTCGATATCGCCGTAATTTAGCGATAGCTTGGAGTTTGGGTTCTTGACCTCGATCCGACCGATTGTTTTGGCGTCTAAATACGAGCCGTCCGGTTTGTCGGTGACGTTGAATTTGGAGATCCGGAACGATTGGAGGTGAAATACGGGGAGTTTGGGGTCGAACCAGAGGTATGAAACCCCGCCGGCGGCGACGATCACGACGATCAGGAACAGGACGAAAAAGCAGAGGAAGCAACAGAATCTCCGGCAGCAGCTCCGTCGGTTCTTCCGCGGTGAGGGGAGAATCGGTAATTTCCTGGGCGGCGGTCTCGGGACCGGTTGAGCGGCGAGATTTGGGGGTTTATACCCCGGAGGCTTCTGGAGGATGGGTTTCAATGGCGGCTCTGCCATGTTCTGCGAAGAATTCAGATCACGGAAATGGAATTTATTAGAGAATCAATTGAGTTGGGTCAAGTACATGCATCGCATTAAATATATAATAGGAATGGGAATTTCGTTTCCTCGGGAAAGAGGGAAAAAGTGGAATGCCATATGATATGATATCATGGGGAAATTACAGGAGAAATGAAATAACAAATGAGATTGAAACGCAGAGAGGAATTTATGAGAAGAAGAGGAGGAGGAAGACGATGACCTGCCGGCGGCGGGATTTTCCGATGGGTGTTCCGGTGAGAAGAAAATGAGAGAGTGAGAGAGAGGTGGAAAAAGAGTGAGTCTTATTTGGAAGGAGAGCGCGTGACAGACGTTTGGCGAAGATGCTGACATGGCGGCAACGTCTTCCGACTGGTTGCGTCACACAAATTCCAATTTGGTAAGCACAATTTCGCTTCCCAATTTCCTCACCCAACACAATTATAGTAAAACAAACAGGAGGCATGAGATTTGAAACCACAAACTCGAAGAAATGAATAAATATTATTTACGACTTAGCTAAATGGCATTATATTGAAATTTTATGAATGGGCAGAATTTCAAAAATATTTTATTTTAAAAAATTAAATGTAAATATGTCATTAATTTTCCTATATATTAAATTAATTAGGTTAACATATTATTTTGGTTCATTTTAGTAATTATGTTTTTAAAAGGTTTATTTTAATCTAGGTACTCTCAACTTGATTCATTTTAGTCCTTCTACTTTCAAAATATTCATTTTTGTCCATTTACTTTTACGAAGTAACCTTTTTGTTACTTAATTTTATTTTTAATCTCATTTTTTTTTCCTATCACCTGCACTACATTTAATATATTTCTTGAAATCTAATCACGACTTTAAATTAAAAGATTTCTGTAATGTGTAGAATTTTTATTAAAATTTTGAAAATAGGAATCGAAACGGCCATTTTTTTAAATTACAGAGACCAACAAGAACATTTTAAAAGTACAGGAACTAAAATGAACTAAAGTACAAGACCAATTAATTATTATCTTGGTAGAGCACTTGTTAACTCATTGAGGTAAAAATCGAACTTTTAATCTTATATTATACTCATATTGAAACTGGTTAACTTATATAACCCGTACATTTGGGTAACACGAATAACTTTTTATTATTATTTTTTATTTTTTGAAATAGTAACGTGAATAAGTGTGTATAAAGAATTTTTATACAAAAATTTAGTGACTAAATTAGATGGTTTAAAAGTTGAAGTACTAAAAAAAAGTTTGAAGGTGCATACCATAATCAAATAAGCATAAAAGTTATCATTTTATGTAATTTATTAATTTGATTTCTAAATTCTTAAAGATTTGGTTAGTCATTCAATTTTAATTAAATTACATTCCACATTTAGTTATAGGTTCAATATATCTTAAGACCTTGAAACTGGAATTATAATGTTATTAGAAATTAATTATTTAAAAAAAACACAGAGAAACGAATTGTCTACAAATACATGAAATGAGTTGATAAAGGAAATCCACGTCAGCAATTAGGAGCAGTTGGGATTTACCAAAATTATATTAAAAGAGAAAGAAAACCAGAAGGATTGAGGTGTAAATTCAATGAAACAAACTACAATCTCAGAAATTATTGTTGGCAAATTTAGTTGGTTGACGGCAGCTTTATTATTAAATTAAATAAATAATAATCTTTTGAAATTAGGCCGATCAATTTGGCTCAATTTTTCGCTAAATAAATGCTCAATCAGCCTAATAATTTAAACAAATTTTAAAACTATTTAAAATTTCAAGGATGGAAATATTAGTCAATGCCAATGGTAATACCTGTAGATATACAGATGGATATTTTTAAAAAAAGTTATTAAAATAAAACATTCATATCAAATATTTAAATTAATAAATAATTATTTCATTCTTTTTAAATAAATTAAAAATTATTAATATTAATATTATATCATTAGTGATATTTTATTGATATTTTTTAACCATTTATATAAATTTTGTATGCAATACAATATTATACACATGTCAATTTATCTCTCATGTCGATGTCGAACTTAGAGACATATCGAAATATTAATAGAAATTTCGACATGTCAACGGATAAATTTAATAACCGTAATGGCTAGGCCGAGTAAAACCAAACCAACCAATATTTATGCTAGGATGAATTGAACCGACTCGATTAAATCAATTTTATTCATTTAATTTTTTTAAATTCTTTAAAAAGTTATGATCTTATGATGAAAATAGAGGTTGAGAGAATGTTCATGGAAGGGCATTAAGGGAGTCATGCGTCCAACAAAGAAACGAAACCAATGCAGCAGCCTAAGCCAGCAGCAAATTATAAGCCATAAATAAATAAATTTTGTGTTTTTAATTAAGAATGAAAACAGAAATAAAAAATAAAAAATAGAAAAAGATTCTGTGGCATATGGAATAAAGAAAAGCGTGTTATTAATTGCCAAATGTGTAATAGACGTGCTTAGATGTCAAATAAAATTTATTATTACGATATTATCACGTGTGAGTATGATTGCATCTTTTCGATTATATGTATAGAGTTAGTTGCTGCTCATTTCTCAAATATTGTCATTGCTTCTTCTTAACTCTGAGCAATGTGACTCTTAAAGTTTTATGTATTGATAAATTAATCGGTAAATATAGTTTTATTTGATTTTGCTCGACTTAGGTTGAAAAATTGATTTTGAATACTATTATGTAAATAGATATGACGATGGAAAAAAGTAAATAAAATATTGGTGACTTAAAAGGTTGTTGCCAATTGGGGGAAGGAAAGGAACTACTTGAAGAAGAATTATTCGACTTTAAATTCTAAATGTTTTATTTTATATTAATAATTGTGTTTGTTTGTGAATTTGGTCCAATAAAAATATCATACTATATCTTTTTTTTTTCTTAATAACACAGGTCGTGAAGATTGGAACTTTTGACTTCAAAAAAGGAGTAAATATCATTCATTACCACTGGTTAGACTTCTCAACATCATTTAATTTTATGATAAAAGTGATAAAATATTAAATACAATTTTTTTTATATAATTTTGTAGTATTTTAAAGTACCATATGTTTAAACTGATATGAATATAACTTAATTATAAAAACATCCTACCCCTTCCAGATTCAATTCCTTGCTCCATATTTAATTAAGACAAAAATTATTTTATTAAGATTTATAGATCTTGAGCAATATCTCATCAAAGTATCTTTTTTTTTTTTCACACCTCTTTTTCCCTCTTCTAAAATACCTTCCATTTTTAGTATCCAAGCT